GCCGGCGACCCCTCGGGGGAGGGCCTTCTCTGTAGCTGCTCCGGCCCTGTGGAATGATCTACCCGTAGAGATCTGGACCCTTTCCACTCTCTCGGCCTTCCGAAAAGCCACCAAAACCTGGCTGTTCCGGCATGCTTGGGGCTTTGAACAAGGTCCAGCCCCACTTAGACGGAATGTATGGTGTGTTTTTTTTAAAAAATTGTATCTTTTTATTTTTAATTTTTAACTTTTATCTTGTTTCTGTAAGCCGCCCAGAGTCCTACGGGATTGGCATACAAATTTATTAAATTACTAAATTACTAAATTACTAATTCAGACTGGAAAATAATGGTTACCCATTTTGGAATAAAACAGGATGTTAAACAATAAATTAAAGCAATGTTTTGATTCTGGCTTCTTTTAAAATGTTTAAAATGGCAGAAGAGAGTACTAATTATAAAATCTCAGCAAAAGTCAGAGTATAAATCAAATCAAATAAATCAAACATTTCCTTATTCGATTGCTCACATCCTGAAGATTCTGTAGGAAAAGACTTCTTTTGGATCTGGGCTTTTAAAACGGAGATGTACTCATACAGGTATCATCAGCTATAGGAGTTTGTGCGATAATTTTTTATCATCCGGAAGAAGCCCTCACTTCTAGGAGATGGAAAGATCAGTAACGCCCCATTGTTTTTGTGAATACTGTGGTTTCTCTTTAGACCATATAAATCTTTATGTGAATAAGATCAGATATCTTTATAAAAGTTGCAGTGTTAAAACCACATTTCCTTAAAGTTTATAGTTTTTGGGCTTGACGCAGAAATAAAAAGGGGCATTTTAAGAACGTCATGTGAAATTAAGGTTACACGGAATCAATGTATTATTAATGAACCTATGTTTTGGTACAACTAAAATGTGTTTTTGAAGCTTGATTATAAATGAATGTGTTTTTTTTTTGTCTCTTAATATATTGTAGGCGCATTCTGACCACAGTTGAAAAAAGTAGACAAAAATACAAGCCAGCTTTACTCACAGTGGAATTTGTCCCTTTCTTTTACCGTGAGTAGTTAATTATAATGTCCTACCATTCAGAATTGTTTTAAAGTGAGAGTCTTTCAGAAATAAGATTTATTCCATAGTTTTCTATTTGAAGGTACAGAGTCCCGGTGGTCTCTGAGCTTGGTTTACCCCAGAGAGCACCAAGGACCCTGCTGTTCATCCCTGAGCTACAAGTATTCTCTTCTATCAGTAATTTGAAGATGATAACTAATTAAGCAATTTATTATTGACCCAGATGCATTCTGGATAATAAAGGTGCATTTTCAATGCTACAGCATTGTCTTGGGATGTGTGTGATAGAAACAGTGGTGGGTTTCAAAAATTGTTCGAACCTACTCTGTGGGTGTGGCCTCCTTTGTGGGAGTGGCTTGCCGCCCATGTGACCGGATGGGAGT